GTATACTCAACCCATTTCCATTCTTCCTCAAATATTCTGAAGTAAGTTCCAGATATCATATTATTAACTTCCTAGGGGCTACAATTTGATGGACAGGTACATGAAGTCCAAAAGAGAGGTATTGGCTAGAAATATATATTTGAGAGTCACCAGCAATGAAATCAAGACTTGAAGCTATAGCTTTGAATGAGTTCAAAGATAAATGCTTGGGAAACAGGATGGTTTCTTTCGGTGCTCTTTTATTAAGAATCTAAATAGACATAAAGCACATTTCTTCATCAAGTAAGAAACTATGAATTTACAAAGGCCTATAGAACTTTTGTATCTTATCATTCAAGGTGTTTTTCTCCCTTAAACAGGTATCTCTGTATAGTAATAGTTAATACTCCAAAGGATTTAACAAAATACCTAAAACATAGATATATTTTATGTAACATCAAATTTAAACACTGATATCGTAACCAAATGCAAATCTACTTTTCAAAGTATTTGTTAAAAACTTGTCACTTCATGTATATTTTACTATTCTTTAAAGTGTAAAAATCTGTTTTATAACTTCTTTCATATATATTTCACAGTAAAAATTTTAAAATAACATTTAAAAAGAAAATATGATTCCTATATTGAAATAGCTATGACAGATGATAGTATATCTTAGAAGCATTTAGAGCTTTGAACATACATATTTGTGTACTAAAAATATTTTATAAGCTCTTTAGACACCAAGCTGTTGAATCAGAGACCGTTTATTCTTACATTTTAGTTTTTACCCCCCAAGTGTCAAAATTAGTTATGATTTATTTATACTCCACTTCAATCCCGAAAAAAAAAAATTGGACTCAAGCTCCTTAAATCCTAATTTTACAATCCACTTTAAAAGAATTTCTAAAATTTTCTAAAATAGTTTTCATAAGCTATTCAATAAAGATTAACCTTTTTAAAAAAGTATTTGTGACCTTTGGAATGGAATGTAATTTTGTCGCTTTGATTATATTAGCCACAAGTAAAGGATCTAAAGGGGGTAAAAGATGTACAATTTTTGAAACACAATAGATTTTCAAAGTTCAAATTTTGATGGGTAGTCATTGATTAAATGGAGCCTAAGTCTTATTTGATTAGAAAGAACTCTGAAATATTTAAAGCATATCCTTATCTTTCAAGTAATAGTCCTAGAAACATAAATGTACATTTTTGCATATTAGAGTAATATGCAATTTAGTTTCAAGCACACCACATTTCTTTGCTTAATTTTCTTCCTAAGTAAAAATTGGAACATTTAAAAGCAGTTTCTACTTTAGCTCTATCATTTTACCAAAATTACTGAAGACTTTTTGGCAAATATTTTGGGTCTTTTAAAGCTTTTGAAGGACTGCACCTAACATGTTCTAAGTAAAATCCAACTCAGTTTAAAACCACAATTAAAGAAACATTGGATCAAAATTGGATGTTGTTTCTCTCTCTCTCTCTCTCTCTCTCTCTCTCTCTCTCTCTCTCTCTCTCTCACACACACACACACACACACACACACACACACTTCAATTCTTTTTTCAGATACCAGTAAATATCAACATGCTGATTAAGAGGCATAATTGCTTTCTCAGGAATCATGTATTAAACTGTGGGGGGGGGGGAAGCTTCTGGTTTTTCAAAAAGTACAGTTCAAACACCCAAACATTTATCTAAATGGGTACTTTAAGATAATGGAGATATTTTCTTGTTGTCAAATAAGCAATGCATTGTTACATTAATTTTTAAGTTGGTGGTTTTAATTATTGTTGAAGCTGAGTTTTTTTTTTCATTTTAGACATTAAAATGTATGGGGGAAGGGAGAGAAAGTTGGAAAATATAGAATAACTTGCTGAGAACTCGTTCTGTTTTTAATTAAGGAATTTTATAAAGATATCTTGTTGCTGTTCTTAAATTAATTCTGCATCAGAAGCCAAGTGATTTTCTGGTCTTGAATAGTAATGATACAGACTCTCTTTACCAAAAACGTATATATTAACTACACTCATATATGAGATACATTTTATTTCTGTGTCTCTAAAGACAACCTTGGTGCTTGTCAGGCATTAATGACATCATTAACATTATAATTAATTCTGCCAGAGTGAGTAGTGAATTTACCTTTTATTTTCACAATTAAAAAAAATAAGAATTTAGCTGTGGAAACTGCTATTTTGACAAAATACATGAAAAAACTCGAAATTTTCTTTTGACACAAGCAATCACTTAAGTTTTTTGGTATCTCTTCTATAGCAGACATGAATTTGCTGACATTCAGTCTGAAGTTTTCCCCTGTTTTTCCTCTCAGATTTTCTCCTCGCGTTTGAAATTCTACAGGTTTAAGGATTTTTCTAAAACAGCAATTCACAATTTAGAAAAACGTTGTCTCTATATACCCTCAGTAACTGGCATGAAAGATAACAAGGGAAAACTCTTCGACAAACGAGGTTACTTTCACCAAATCTTTTTGGAGTTTCAGCAAATTCAGGCAGTGCCCTTGAGAGTTTTAAGATTAAAAAACAATCTTTAAAACTCACAAAGGTGACCCATTCTTTACCCCGCAAAGCACCTCACACAAGTTCACTTAAGGGTAGATTCGTTGGCCCTTTACCCTGCAAGCAAAGAACACAAGCTCCGAATAGAAAACATGAACATTTCGTTGAACATTAAGAGACGTCTTAACGTTAAATTTTCTGAGGTTGCTGAATCTCCTAAGTTCCTTAAATAATAGATGTGTCGCGAACACCCAAAACCAACCAGAACAAACTGCCTCCCTCGACAGAAGGGCGAACTGAGGACGGTTCTCAGAGAACCCGCCTGTTAACAGGTGGCCGGCCAGGGAGGGACCTTCCGCTCAAGCCACCGTCGCGGCCTGGGGACTCTTGGCCCACGCGGGAGCCCCCACTCCCCCCCCCCCCACTTCCGTATGGCCACCTCGGGCCGCGAGCAGCTGGGCAGAGCCCTTGCCGCGCTGTCCCACGCCCCGGCGTCGGGGCGGCCAGAGGTGGCGCCGCAGCCCCGCGGGCCCCGAGCCTTCCAGCTCCTGGTTTGCACTCAGCTCGGCGGGGCCTCCCGCACAGGCAGGCAAGGAGGCCTGGAGAAGAAGCACGTGCCTCTTCTCGAAGCCTCGTGCCCTGGCCTCCGCGGGCCTAACCGCCGGTGCCCCGCCTACCCGAGGGCCCAGCTTCTGGACGCCACCCGGCAGGTGGGCCAGGGCTTCGCGTCCGACCTTCCCACCCGCAGCCTCCGCCTCAAGTGTGGAGTTCAGGAAAGTCCCAGGCCGACGGAGGCCAAAAAACCACTGAGAGGAAACTGAGGTCCAGTGATTCGGGTACCTTGCTCCGGAGGTCCCAAGGTTGTCTGAGCACCTGTGCAAATCCGCGTCTCCGGGTTTCCTTCCACCTAGTAGCGAGAGGCCGCTGGGCCCCACAGAACACGCCTCAGGGAACGCGGGCGGAGGCAACCCAGCACCTGGGCCTGGAGCAGAGCTGGCAGCTGCAGCGCTGGCAGCTGCTGCGTGGGCCCGAGCGGCCGGGGCCAGGGCAGGCAGGGCCGCTGAAGGGAGCGCCCACGAGGCCTGAAGCCCAGGTGCCTAGGCCCGTGCGGCGCGAGCTGGAAACCTCGGTGACCCGGTAGCCTGGCCGGCCTCCACGGCACGTGCGGGCCCCGCACCTGAGGGGCCACCTGGGCAGGTCCGATTTGGCCGCCTATTTCACTGTAGGCGGCGCCTAAGGGAGGGCCTGAGTGGGCACCGCCCGCCCTGCCCGCAGGCCCGTGTTTCGGGGCTGCGCAGCTGGACCTCGTAAGGCCAGGCCGGGGCTGCGCCCTTCAGGGAAGATTGGTTTGTTGGAGTGGAAAGGGTGGGTCCGAGCCCAGCCGTCCAAATCCCGAGGGAGAAGGTAGCCGCGAAGGCTTTTCCCCAGCGAGGGCGCGCAGCCCTGCGACCTCGCCGGGCGCTGGGCCCTGGGGAGGGGTGGTTGGTCCATCTCGGCCTCACTGCGTGTCCTCAGGTCTCACACGCAGTTGAATAGAGGATGTTGGTCATTTCGCAGGAAACTTTTCGTTGTTTCCTTATTTCCTTCCCTCCCATAGACAAGTTTAGCAGCTTCTCAGCCTTACACCCAGGAGGTTTCAGGCCAAACAGTCTGGACAGTTCCGGGCTCTGCATTTCTAGGGAAGCATCCCCCTCCCACCCCATACACAAACTCCTATCGTCCCTCATTGGAAGGGAACTGACCCCCAAACCCAAACTGGGCATCGTGTCTCCCTGCCGCAGTGAAATGCGTCCTTGTCAATTTTTCCAGGTTTTGTGTTGGTATGTTTTAAAGAAACTTTACACTATGAACAAAGATAAATTGGCTACTTCTGGCGCAGACAGAGGGTTTAGAAGGGCGTCTTAGCACGTGGTAAGAATGACTAGGATCCCCCAGCCGCAGTGAAGCCACCCGGGACAGCTCAGCAGAAAGGGAGGTTGTCTGCTGCCAACATGCAGGACACAGATCGGGTTTTTGTCGTTTTGTTTTCTTTTCCTTTTTGGCTCAGCTCTGAGAGCATTACAGAGCTATCCTTTCCCGCCTCCCGACCCTCTTCCCCTCCCCCTCTTCTTTCTGGTGCAGGCAATTAGGGTGAAGAAATCAGTGCCAGGCTCCTGCCTCTGAAGAGAAAGGAATTGCTTCGGGAATTGAGTCCTGACACCTGTCTCTGTCCTGGATGGCTACGGGGGTGCGGGGTCAAAATGCGGGGGGGGGGGGGGGGGGAGGCCAGGCCCACACAGGGTGGGGGTAGGGGATACACTCCCTAAAAGAATGTTTTTGGGGGCTCTTCTTGTCACGTCTTCCCACTCATTCTTTGGCCTCCAGCTCTACGCAGGTCATTAACACGCGGGTTATTAGAGCAGTTTCCCTCGCTTTTAGCCCTCCGAGACTGGGACCTGAGGGTGGAATCAGAAGAGCAACACTGACAAGCCTTTCATTGATTTGCATTTATTTTCGGGAAATAATGTAGATAAAGAGGAGGGGAACTGCCTTACATTTCAACAAGTAATTTGTGATCTTCACATCGGACAAATCAAATTTACAAATTACTTTCCCACCTACTGGACGAAGCGGCCAAAACCAAAATTGATACACAGGCGCGCGGGCTCTCCACAGATTTCGGAGAATGAAGGTGCACTAAAAACTCACTAGACAAAACAAAGATGTTTAAAGAGAGAGAAGCCACAGAGGAATTGGAACTGGGGTGTAGGGCCTGGGTTTGTTTTTCCATACTGCTGTATTTTTACCTTTTTAAATTTTTGTTTGTTCTGTTTTTGGTCTCTGAGCTGTAACTTCGACCCTGTGTTCAGACAGAGTGAGGGTCTCAGTCCTGTGCTCCCCACAGAGCCTAACCTCCACCCCTGTATCCTGACTTGGCTATTTCCTCCACACTCCTGATCCTCCGCGCCCAGCTTCCTAGAACCAAGAAGTTCTCTTTTAATAAATACACAGAAGAAGATGTGAAGAGGGTAGGACAGCCTTGTAACAACTGAAACAACAACAACAACAAAAAAAAACTCCATCGTTTAAAGAAGAGGAAGGGGGACAGAGGGAACATATTTTTTGCTTTTGTTTTATATATATGCATATATATATATATATATGTGCTGTATATATCTTAAAGTTCTGTTTCCTGGGCGCTACACAAGAAATGCTCAGTTCCACCAACAGCAACTAGAAAGTTTTAAGTGGTCCCTGGAACGGACCCGACTATGTACAGCATTTCCGCCAAGGCGGAAGCTTGAACCAGTCCAGCGCAGGGCGGGGGATGCGGCTCTGTGCGCTGAAGGCTGGGGGCGCTTCTCCTGTGGGCCTTGCCCAGAGCACCCCGCTGGGGAGGAGGAAACGCTGGGAAACTGTGGCCTGCAGGCGGGGAGCAGGATCTAGGGCAGACGAGAGGGGGAGGGGGAGTCTGTGCGAGAGAAACACTTAGTGGTTGTTCAGGTTTGGAATAGTGTGTGGGTGCACTCCAATGGGCATAAACACGCCTGTTAGTGACTCCAGTGTCCAGAAAGAATAAATAAAAGTGTTGGGCTCAAACAGTAGGAAAGCGAAGAGCCTCCGAAGGCTGCGAGTGCATAATAGCTGTCCAGAAAGACTGGAAGGGGTGTCTTAGGAGTTTGGTGGGATTGACAGCGAGAGCACCCAGCAATCCCGCATAGAACGTGTGGGCCAAGCCGAAGCACCGGTCCCCCCATCCAAGGGGTAGGCAGGTTAGCACATCCCTTAAGCAAGTGGCACAGAGATGGGGATTGGCAGTGCAGACAGTGGGCATCTTTTGGGGGTATGAAAATTCAGTTTTTGGAGAAGCAGAGGCAAAGGCGGGCGGTGCAGCAGCAGCAACAGGATGGGGCCAATGAGGGCGCAGGTAGTTGCGTTCTTCTCCTCTTGCTCTTCCTCCTGGGTTCACAAGACCTGGAATCTCCATGAGGCTTGGTCTTTATAGTCCAGACAGTCGGGCGAATTGAAGTTGAGTTTCCAGGCGGAGGAAGCAGCGGTGGCGCCAGGCTCCTTGTAATCCAAGCAGTCGGCAGAGTTGAAGGCAAGCCCCGAGCCACCGTAGCCTTGGTGGTGGTGGTGGTGGTGGTGGTGATGGTGACCTGAGGACTGGCTCAACGGGTGGTGCGCGTGCGGGTGGTGGTGATGGTGGCCAGCCATGGAGGAGGGTGCCATGGGGCTGAGCTGGTGCGGGTGGTGATGCGAGTGCATGGGCGCTAGGTATGAGCTGCAGTCCACGCCGCCAAAGTAGGAAGAGGAGGGCGCGGGATAGCCCTGACCATAGCTACCGCCCTGGCCATAGGACATGGGGTAGGACGCTGCTGCCGTGGCGGCACCTGCGGCTACCGAACGCTGCATACATGAGGCGTTGCTTGGAGCGGCCAGCGGCTCGGGTACTGATACAGAGGCCGGCGCTGAGCCGGGTGAGATGGAAGCCGGGCTCCAGATGGATGAGGCAGCGGGCGTGCTGAGCGACGACGCGGCTGCCACCGCCGGGTTGCCACCTATGCCCGCAGCCGCAGCAGCCGCGGGGTTAGCGGAGGCGCTGGAGGCCGAGCTAGAGGACGAGGCCGAGCTGGACACAGCCGGTGGCGTGAATTGGCCGCTGCTTTCGGAGCCGGAGCTTTCCCGCACCGGAGACGACTTCTTCTTGACTGGGCGGCTCTTGGTTCCGCTCCCGCTCTGCTGCTGCTGGCGGCACTTGGCGCGGCGGTTCTTGAACCAGACCTGCAGCAGGCCGGGTTTGGGAGAGCGGGTTAGGGGGGCGAGTGGAGCTTACTGCTCCTCCGCCCCTTGGACCCACTACCCCGCCCAGGATCTCGAGTCCCTCTCAGTCCAAACCTCAGCCCCTCCCTTTCTCCGGCCAGCCAGACACTGCCCCCTCCCCCGCACGTCGGTTTCCAGCTCCTGCACCCTCCCCCATCCCTCTGCGCAAAGCCCCTCCTCAACTCGCTCGGGAGTAGGGGTATGTACTTTCCCCTCGTTAGCGCAACTCAGCCTGAAGGCGGAACGTTTGCGTCTGTCCATCCAGAAGTTCAGCCATCTCTAAACTGCTGGTGGCTGCTTCCCCCAAACCCCAAGTACGTTTGGAGGCCCTGATTCTTAAGGACGGAGCTCAGGAAACCGCAGAGAGATACTGAGCAGCGGGGTGAGGAACAGTTACCAACTTTGGGGCCCAAGCAGTTTCACTGAGTTGGCTCCTGGAAGCCCGAATGGGCAGGACAAATGCTTGGGTGGGAGTAGGAGCAAGGCTGGAGGCCAAACAGAATCAGTACCCAAGTACTAGGGGCTTCTCTGGAAGGAAGCTTGAGTGAGATTTCGTTGGACTTTTTTGGGGAACCCAATGGAACGGTGAGTTATAAAGTTCTCCTTCTGGAGGGCCCTCAGCACATAAAATTGTATTCTTGGTCCTTTCTTAGCTTTCAGGAATGTAAGCCTAGACAAAGACCCTTGAGAGGGGTTCTGAGTTAGAATCCCAACAATACTGTTGGAACACTTTCATCTCAAACATAGAAATAGCAAAGCCGACAGCCAGGTTTTGTTCTTGGAGTCCTCCCGGGGCAGAGAAAGTCTAATCAGACCGACGCCACTCGCGGAGCTTACTCCCAGGCAGAACACCAGCCTCGGCTAAGCTGCACTCACGCGTTTCCCGATCCCCAGGATGCAATGCAAGGACAGGGGCAGAAATCAGGCCTCCTAGGGCAATTGCCAAGTATGGGGCAGCCAAGGAAGCAAGGGCAAATGTCGGACCCTCAGGGCACTCCTCGTTGGGGAATCTAGCTCTCCTCCTGTAATCCTAAAAACGACTTTCAATACCGAAGGCGCCCTGGTGACAAGGGCTGGATCCAGGGCTTTAAGTCATTTCCTTTAACTCTGTCCCCCTTTCCTGGTTGACGCCCAGCGCTAGGGGGAGTCCGAGAGGGGGTTGTCCAGTCTGTAAAACCGCCCCCACATCGGACCACCCTTCTCAGCCAGACCTTTCCCGGCTGGCACCAGCTACACTATCCTGACCCAAAAAACCTCTAGAAGCCCGCACCTGGACTCTGGACTCTGGCAGGTTGATTTTGAGCGCCACCTCCTCGCGCATGAAGATGTCAGGGTAGCGAGTCTTGGCGAACAGCGCCTCAAGCACGTCCAGCTGTGAGCGTGTGAAGGTGGTGCGCTCCCGCCGCTGCTTCCGCGGGGTGGCTGCGGGGACATGCGGGCGTCTCGGGTCAGCGGTGGCGCTAGAGGGCTTGGGCAGGTACCCTGGTAGGCTCAGAACCCAGCCACGGCAAGAAAAAGCCAAGCTCGGAGCAAAAGAAACTATCCGGGTGTTGGGGACGAGGGTTAAGCCTAAGAGGCCACAGGTGGGAGAAAGTGTGTATATTCCACTGGGGCACGAGTCTCCAACACCTAGGGCTGCCCACCTCCCTGTTTCTCAGAGGTTGAAAAGGAAGCCATGCAATCTCCCTTCCTCCACATCTCCCCACACCCACACCCACTCTATGGGTGAGGGATAGAAAGTGGGGGAGAAGGAGCGCAGAAACACGGCCTGGAAAATCCAAGGGAATAAATGCGGGTAAAAGAGTGGGAGCTAGAAAAGAAATACTGCGCTCGCTCAGCTAAGTCCTCCACTATACCAGAGCAAAAGTTGGTGCAGGTCACTGGTCTAGAACACAGTTTAACTCAGTACAGTGAGCCGCTTTGCATAATGTAAATTTGGCTTTTATATCAGGGTCCAGAGTGTCCACATTCCTCATTCAATGTTGGGAGCAGGGGGCAGAGTCTCACACACACACACACACACACACACACACACGAAATAAATAAAAAAAATAAATAGCCACACGTGGAAAAGGAATCACTGGGTAAATGTACTCTACGCAGGACATGGGATGACAGCAGGAGACGACAGGTTGCCAGTGTGACCAAGCTGGTAAGGCACGTTTTAAAGCTCTGTCCACTTCACCCACCCAGGACTCTGCCCATATGCCTGTAGCGGGCCACGCATGTAATACGGAAATTAGATAACCTGATTCCTGGGCCTGTTTTACAATAACGTGGGCTCAAACTTTAGGGTTTGAGGCTCCCCAACATTTGTAGGGATTGGGAGCTGGGGCAGAAGGGCCAATGCTCACCCGGATAGCCCACAGAGGGGTGCAGAAGGTCCATGGCCGGCCCGGCTAGGCCCAGCCCATTCATGCCATATGGGGGTTGTTTGAGGTAAGACATCATGCTAACAGCCGGGTAGAGGCGCCCCGACGGATCCAGGGGGCCTGGGGCCAGGAGGGATGCAGGGTTCCCACCGCGAAGTCCTTCAAGCTGTTGCGTCTGGGGGCCTGGCCTATGGAAACAGGAGACATGAAAACCGTCACTCTGAGCCACTTCGGCTTCCAGGTTTTGTCCAAGGAGAGGAGCTTCGGGATGGGGAAAGAGGCAGCGCAACTGCGCAAGGGCAGTCAATTCGGCTCCACAAGGCCTCAGCATGTGGACCACAGCTTCCTTGTGAAAAGTAAACTTTTCTTCTGGATCGTCACTGCCTCTTTTCGGGCTTGGCACGGGCTTAAGACACTCGTAGGGTGTCGACAAGAGTAAAGAGAGGTTAAAAGTGCAGTCAGGTTGAGGAGGTCAGAGCCAGAACCACGAAGTTTGGAAAATCCCAAGTGCAGGCAAAATTTTGAGTCGGGGGAAGTCGGCTCCATATTGCACAAGCAAAAGTTCCCTAGGCGCCCAGACGGCAGACCGCCCAGAGCGTGAGGGGTTGTTTCGTTTTGTTTCAAATGTTTTTGAAAGTAAGGCAAAAAGGTGGACAATTGTGAGGGTCAGACTGGGTTAACTCGGAAGGCTAACTGCACCTCGGGCTCTCCCGATACCTAGCCCACTTGGGAGACATCATTCCTTCAAAGGTCTCCACCGTTGCGCCCCTGCCCCAGAGCCCGCCATCACCATTTCAGCCGACCTGTCGGTGCCCAGTCACTGAGCGGAAGCTCCCCCGAAATTCCACCGCACTTCAACCTCAGTCACCGGCCCCGACCCAGCAAGTCGGCCAGAAGACAACGAAGGGACCGCTGTATAAGCGGCAGTTCCAAGACGCCACCGGAGGTCTGGGTTGCCTCAACCCTCCCTTCTTGGCCCGCGCAGGCCGGGCCTTCACTTTCCCCAGTCTGGCTGCGCACAACCGGATCCCGTCCATCGGATCCCATCAGAGGATGAAGGGCGACCAGACCAGCGCCCCAAAGGCCCTCGGGGATTCAGGAAGACTGGGTAGAGCAGGTCGCCTGTGCTCTCTGCCATTCTACTAACTGAACCCGCGGGCCCCAGGACACGATCGAGAATAGAAAACTAGGCCTCATCGTCAAAGCCCACGCAGACTGGAGCTGGAAGGTCGAAGCATGGCTTCCGCAGCTGCTCTGAATCCGTGGCGCTACTCTCAAGGGTCAGGAAGGGGCGCTGGGGAGTGGGACTGGGACCTCAGAGGGCCTTCTCACTATACCCCGCTTCGCGGGAATTCTGCAAAGCAGGCCAGGGAACCCAGGTTAGCGAATTCAGAGAGAGAAAAGTCTGAGCTAAAGAAGACTCCCATTCCAACCCCCGCCTCCGCCCTGGGGGACCCAGGACCCGGGTTAGGGACAGCCAGTTGTCAGGACAAAAAAAGGAAACAGCGAGGGCTCCTTGGGTCAAAGGAAAATGGGACTCCAGCCTCGGCGATTCTGCTAGGGTGCAGCGTGAGTTTTCAAAGACTTTCTCCAAACTTAGCACCAAAGCCCAGTGACTTCGGAGGAGGCGGGGGAGGGGGCGCCGGGCCGCAGCAGCGGTCTGGGGTCCTCCACACACCAGGAGGGGAGCCAGGCCGCTCCCCCAGCCCCGCCCACCTGCCGGGGACCCGGGAAGCCGCGGTCGTTCTGAGGAGGGGGTTACACGAGTAACCAACGCGCTCCCGGAGTTCCGGGCGGCCCCGAGGTTTTCTTCTTACCTGCCCTCAGCTGTCGGGGCCGCTCACCATCTACCTGGCTCCCTCAGAGACCCGCCGGGCAGCCAACCTGCAAAACAGAGAGGCACCGGAATTACCCCGGCGGCTGATTGAGGACCCCCGGGCTTCTTTCTTTCCCCAACTTCCTTCCTCCCATTTTTTCCCCCAGTAGCTTTGTAAGTATCCCTCTAGGTTTCACTTTATTGCACACTTTGTTTGCAAAGCTCCACACACTCCCAGGACATTGCCTAGTCCGGAACCCAGCCGAGGGCCCTCCAAGGGGGAGGGGGATGCGAGGGGCAGAGTTGGGAGGAGGCTCGGCTGGCCTTTGCCGCTGCACTCCCGGTGCAACGTGGAGGCGGCGGGGACTGGGGAAGTCCTGCAGAGTCACTTTGCAAACTAAATAAATGAAGCAATTTACCTTGTCGGAGTGGCTTGTCTTGCTCGGTTGTTTAGGTGATTGGAAATGTAGCCTGATGAAGATTGATCACCTTTCTACTGCCCTCCCCGGGTATGTGAACGCGAAGCGAGTGCGTAACGAGGCTAGGCCGCCAATCGGGGGCCCTGGGCGAGCTGAGTGACAGGAAGCCGGGCAATGGCTGTGCGAGCCGGGGGGTTACCTCCGCGCGCCCCCGCCCTCCCCCGCCTTCTACACCCCGCCCTCACCGCGCGCCCGCCCCGCCCCGGTCGCGCGCTAACTCTGGGGCTCCGCTGGCAAATTCCGCGCAGAGGAAGGCGAGGAGGGCTAACTGAGCGCCGGAGTCCCTGCCGCCGAGGGGCCGCGGATCCCGAAGCCTGCCTAGGGGCCCCCAGCCCTTCTTTCGCCCTCTCGGTGCTCCCGAGGGAGTGGTAGAGAGGCGGGGTGCAGGATAATCGGACTCTTCTCACCGCCCGGCTCCTCGGCCGGAGTGTGGGCGCGAGGATTCCCGGGCGGCGGGCTAGAGGAGCGTGGGTCCCCGGCCCCTTTCGCAGCGCGATGGGCCCCAGCGTCTCCTTTCTTCACCCCCACCTGCAGACAGACGCCGCGGGCAGCTCGTGCCGGCGCAAGCTACTGTGCAGAGCGCGGGAGCAGTTCTGGGCGCGCAGATCCCTCAGCTCCCCTGGACTCCCGCGCTTGGGATAAGCACCCGCAGGGGAGGCGCCGCCACTTACCAGCTCCTCATCATTTCCAGGAGTTCCTAGTCCTTAAAGGTGTTTGCAAGTGTTACAAACTTCTTTTGAACCGTTGGAACCCTGTGTCCCCTTTCTGTCACACACACCCTACTTCTCAATCTAAGGTTTGGGTAGGAAACTCTTTTTCGTACTGCCTTCCCTTCCACGTCTTCACCTACGAGACAGTCTGGTGGGAAATGTGCCCCTAGACCCCCTACCCCTCAATTTCTTTTCCACATGTTGTGGAAGAAGCTTCCTTGAGGCGGTTTCCCCGGATTGTTCGTACCGGCGAAGCCCCTTTCCCAGTGGAACAAACTTGCCGAGCACATTTACCTGTAGGGACTTTGTAAAAAGTGTTTTTGGCCCAACCCTGAAGGAGGCAATTCTTTTAAATGAACACCTCCTATTGAATATTAGGCACCACTTTGCTCCCTTTCGAGGAATTCTTACCCCTTCCTCTTAATCTTCCACCACCCCCATCCCAACAGGCGGAGTGAAAAGTTTGAACGGGAGTAAGTGTGAGGGCGAGTCAAAGAGCCGCCAGGCGCACCGCGGTGGGGAGCGCCCGAGCTGCCTGGCCGTGGGGTCGGGCACAGAGAGCTGACAGGGCGCCGGGCGAGGAGGAGGAGAAGGAAGGGGGAGCCCGCTGAGTGAAAAGGGGCCGCAGCCGCCGCTCATCAAAGTGCTTTCCCCTCCCCCAAGCGACACTTTCCTTTGGAGTCCGAATAAAATACGGTAACAGAATATGATGGAGGGCACACTGTTTCCTTAACTGCTTCTCAAAGGACCCGGGAGATCTTCTTAGGACCTTTAATAAGGCTTTGGTCGGTTCTTTTGTTGATCTCTCAAAATCAACTCCTTCTAATTGAAGTTGGAGCTGAAAGCGAGCTAATGTTCAAAGAAAGTGGCCGCCAGACCAACGAAATTACATTTTTTTTTTTTTTGGACGATGAGGGAACATCTAATCAAAGGGGCAAGGAAGGAGGGGTGGGAGTGGGGGAGTACGAAGGAGAAAAGGAGGTTTTACAAGATCCTTCTCTGGTTCACAAAAGTCAGCGACACGGGCGCTTCTCTCCAGAACAAAGACACCGCGGCCCATTCACAAAAGGGAGAGAAAGAGAAAGCAGAATAAAAGAACGAGAAGAAAGGAAGAAAATGGGGTGTGTGTTTGGGGGGAGATGGAGAACCTAGAGAACCTTTAAAGGAAAAGATACAGCACAGGGCGCAGCTCTGGCCCAGGCGGGGACACACCTTAGGCTTGCGCAGGCCCCCACCAGTAGTAGCTCGCGAGGCCCATGGTCAGCTGTCCGTGGCCTGGAGCTACGGAGATCCTTGTGAGGTTTTAAAATAGAAATGAAATATCCCCCTGTCCCTTACTCTAGGGAAAGGCGCGACCTAGGGCGCACTAGTTTGTGGGGAAGAGTATGCGGACGTCCTGTGGGGCTCGTCGGGGGCGTCCGCTTGGGTAGCCTAGCGCTGCCAGAGTTTTCGGCCTGTGCCTTGTGTGCCCAGGTTGGCTCTCCGGTGTCGGGACAAGTGCCCTGGCCGGATCCCGAAACCTCTCGTACTCCCGCCTCCTCCCGGTGGTTTCGCGGCAGCAGCAGAACCTGGCCTGGTTCCGGCGTGGCGAGGTGGGGCTGCGTTGCGCATTGGAATGTGCCAGCGCCGTCCCTAAGGCCCGCGGCGCAGGAGTCCGGCGTTCTCGGTTCCAGATGCTGCCACCAGTCTCGGGGAAGTCGGGAGGTATCAAGTAGCAAGGATTTTTCCCCCTAATGAGAGTATTTATCTAATCCCAAATTGTGGGCGAATTTTCTTAATGCTCAGCCCATAAAACCCCGGGATTAAGAGGAGAGAAAGAGAGAGAGAGAGGAGAGGCGAGAGGGAGGAGAGTGGAGAGGGAGCGGGACTGAGATGAAAGTTTCTTGAATGCTGCGCAGAGGATTGAGGCGGCGGTCGCTAGGCAAATTTCCAGGTGGGAAACGCTGGGCCAGAAGCCGCGACCATTCTAGCAAACGACGGCGGCGCGGGGAGGGGAAAGTGGAGACAGGTCTGGAGGAGGGGAAGCCGTCTCAGCTTAAAATCCGTGACCCAGGCGGGGGCGAGGTACCTGGGCCCCGAGACCCGGATCCACCATCCAGGTGACTTCGAGGTCAGACCAGACTCTGGAGGACAGTTGGGACAGGGGGAGGAGTTTTGATCCCGAGCCGAGGGTTCCTGGCCAGAGGCGAAAGTTCTGCACTGGCCTGGGTACTGTGTCCAAGCCAGCTCGCAGCCAACGTTTCTGCCCCCGCGCAACCCCCAGACCCAGTGTTTGATCCCACAGCGCGGGCTTTCGGGTTTGGGTCCCTTGGCGTGCTGGGTTCGCGCCTGCCTTTGGGAGCCTGCCCTTGGGAGCCTATCCCTGGGCACTGTGCAGCGAAGTCGGGACCAGCACTCTGATCGCGGGTCTGACCTCGCTAGTCCCCGGGGTCCGCGCTCCACCGCCGCTGAGGGGCGTTCGGGTGCCGCGGAGCAGCCCAAATAGAAACCCCGTGAGCCTGGGGACTGAAGCAGGAGGGGCAAGAGGGTCGCACAGCTGCCCCCAACCACTCTAGCAAATCTGGGGCTAGGGAAGGTTCGTCACTTGGCTGGTCCGGCACGGCTTGGGGGCGGGGAAAAGTCGCCTTTCTTCGAGGCCCCTCAGAGGGGAAGTTTCCAGGAATCCAGCCTAAATAGGATGGGTGCCGTCCCCGCCAAGCCCCAGGCTGCTTGGGGCGGCCGGTTTCCATCTGCGAGTTCCCAAGGGGTTAGAGCGGGTTCTGAGTTTTCCTCAGAGAGCAGCAGTTCGCTGTTTTGCTCGAATAAAGAGGGCAAATACTCGATTTCATTTAGTTCCATTAACTTTTTTATAACTTAAAAAAATTCTTGTCATGAAGGAATTATACCTTGGCAAGTTTTTATCACCTTGAAAGACCGGCAATTAGAAGGAGCAGCATACTTTTCGAAGGAAATTGTGTGTGTGTGTGTGTGTGTGTGTGTTTTGGGGGGGGGGAATGAAAGGGAGAGAAAAGGAAAGAAAGAGAGGAAGTGAGAGGGAGAGGGGGAGAGAGAGATATGTCTAGGCTAAAGTGTAATTGCCAGTGTTTTCTCTTAAGTTTCAGGACTTGTTGAACGAGCTTTCTTTGTTTGGACACCCCGTAGAGGAGTGATGGAAACTACCATAGAATAGCCACTTTTTTTCTGTGGCGTAGAAATTCTTGTTAGAAGTTCTCTTTCTCTCATCTCATACATACGAACCCGCACACATTCCTCCCCCAATCCACCTTTTCCAACAATAACCTTCTTCCTTTCACTTCAGTACCCACAGACTTGCTGGTTATCCGAAGACAGAGTTCAGAGTTCTCTTTTATATGACTGAAAAACTGTAACAATTAAACAATGCAGAAAATTCATCATAATATTAGCATTTCTTCAGTGGTGTGGAATCACAAATTTCCTCAAATCTTCAACAGAGATGACCCCTTCCCTAAAGAGATAATAGTTTACACTCCTTAAGAATATGACTAATTAGTTTTCAATTTGCATTCGTGTGTCAGCAGGGCTCCTCCGAGATGGTGTAAACTTACTCAACTCCAAATACAGTGCAGTATCCTGCCTTTCGTTCCAGAGGGCCATTTTCCACATGAAAAGTCTTAAACTTCCACCCAAGTTTTCATTGCAAGAAAAACAGCAGCAGCATTTAAGGTAAGAAAGTTTCTGCTTTTATTGAAAATTTATATATGACTCAGTATTGTAATAAATAAACATAACCATTTTCACAAAATGACAGTACTATTATGCTAGAGAAGAAAATATTAATGGGGGATTTACTTGTACTGGCAAGACAGACTTTTATCAATACAGAATAAATATTAACAGCATTCTTGACCCAATGTCTGGACCCAATTAAATGTAGAAACCAAGCAAGATGTAATAAATAATTTTCCAGAGAAAAAGGTGGCGCATTCTCAGAAGATAAAATTGTCTTTGTAAACTGCTGCATATCAATGAGTCCCATCCTACAGCTCACCTTCAAACCACAGGACTTGTCTCAGGCTCCCATAGAGGGTCATCCTCCGAGGAAGGCAGAGAACTCTATTATACTTACAGTGAAATGCAAAACAACTGCAGAAAATCCCACTGGTAATAGAACAGTTTTATAAGTATATTGAATATGATCTAACTATGAAATTTAGGTAACAGAGTAAGTGGTACATATGGTAGGACTGGAAAAAATCATTCATGACATTTTTCTTATCCCCCAGTTACCCCCCTCCCACTGTCATTATGCTATTACCACCAACAATAACAACAATAACAACAACAACAAGGTTTCAAATTTTTTCTCCCATCAAAAGAATAAGGGAAAACAATGAGGGAAGCATTTTTCTTTTTTTTGAACTGTTTCTTGAACATCTCCAATACCAATCACTCACAAGGTGTCTGCAAATCTATTTCACATGATTTCAAAAACATGACTAGCTCACTCACACACACACACACACACACACACACACAATCCTAAAACTCTAAAACAGGGCTGTTTTAGAGTTCTGTATATCATCTGGATAGGATGGCGGAAAATGGGTGGTGGTGGTGGTACAGAAGTATAATTCAGCCAAACAAAACGTTAAAAGTTTTAAATCAACGAGTTCGACTGTTTCTGGCCTGGGGACCCAAGAGTAAAATGTTGGGAGATTCTAGTCTGACGGCTACTGAAGAACACATTTCTCCTCTTTCTTGGCCATCTTGCCTTTGTTTTGCTCCAGAGTTCGCTCCAAATGCTCGTCTTCTTCTTCGGCCCTGGACGTCAGACAAACAGGAAACAAAATTATTTTTTCTTCGTGGAGGGCAGAGCAGCACTCCCCACTTGCCGGTATTTGGATCCCCAATGGTAAAGGAATGGGTAGCGCGGGGCTAGCAGGAAGCTGCCCCGCCCTTCCCTAGGCCTCTGGTTTGAACTTTCCGAAAACTTCTCGGCCCCTGGGCAGGCGGCCGCACCTGGACCCCAACCCCAAGGTCCACTCACTGCTTCTCCTGCGCGTCCAGATCCCTGACAAGCGCGTCACGCTTGTTCACCAGGGCCACCAGCTCATCCAACAGGAGCTGCTCACGTCGCTTCTGGGCCTCGGTCTTCTGCCAGTCTGTAGGGAACAGGAGGCTAGTTACCACGGCAAGGCCTCAGCACCCCCCCGGCTCCCTCCCTCCCCCCCTTCCCGCTTTTTTCCACTTTCCTTATATCTCTAAGCAAACTATGTTAATGGATCCACTAGCTAGTGTTTTCTATGGAGTCTGGCTGTTGTGGTGAGGGTGCCACCCCTAAAACTCTACTTTCTAAATATTTCCCGCACATAGAGATGGGTGCGGCAGGGTTGGAACCTGCTAGAGACCAGGTGTGAGCCGGCGGCCAGCGGGAGGTGCGCACCTGTATCCAGGCAAAGTGGGGGAGGGGAGCTGAAGGACAGAGAGGTTGGCCCAGGGTGGTGGTGGGAGCTGGTAAACGAGGAGGCGGGAAACAGAGATGGGCGATAAAATCATTCTGAAAGGCTAGAGAATCTGCTTGAGAACCTACCCTCCTTCTCCACCCCCACTCTCACCTCAAACAGCCCATTCTTCGCTAATTTCCTCCTCGCTCTATTTTAGCAGTTGGATGTATCTCACACTGGGCGCCATATGCTTCACAATAACTTTAAAAGTAGTGAATCGGCTAATTAGCATTTTCTTTGAAGTAAAAAATAAATTTGCTCTGCAATATTACACTGCAGCTCTCGATCGCATCACAGCCAGTTTTCTTTTGGAGACGTTTGCTTGGTAGTTTCAAATCAAAGCACTTTTGCAAAGGAAAAAACAACATATTTCTTTTTGAAACCTCATGTTAAAGGTTGGAAAATCCGATGGGCAGTGATCTTTCCAAGGGTGGAGACCGTTTTCATGAAGGTTTTAGGCCCCAATAATATATTCCCTAATCTTTGCTAGTCTGATAATTAATTTCCTTAAGATGAGCAGCAGTTTCATTTAATAAAAACAGGACCGAATCGAACATTTAAAACACTTTTGAAACCAAAGCCAACTGCTCTGTGGCCAGACTGTGAGGGCTTGTAACTGTCAATCAATTCCCAGTCTACCCCGCCTCCCTCATTAGGAAGGTAAACAATGAAAAGAAGAAGTAGATGATGAGGCAGATAGCAGAACAAATGAGGACCTAGAGGGAAACAGGACACCAGCTTAAAAAAAAAAAAAAAAAAAAAAAAATCGTGGCCACTGACTTTGCAGCCCCCTCCTCCCCCAACAAATGCACTTTCCAAAAAACAGAGAAGTGCAATCCTTTCGGGTTTCTCTCTTCTCTCTCCATTGCCCTGGGCAATCATGTTAAAACTCACATGGCTGGTGCTTATTCAGATAAACCTAACAATGCACACCGCTGGTTACCATGTGAATCTTCACAAACCACACAAGAATGTGCTGGTTCAAATCCCCCCCGACCCCCTCCAAAGCAAAATTTATTCAAGACAGCAAACTGCTCAGCAGCTTTATGAAAGCAAATGGTGCTAGAGGGAATTCTATCTTGTATTTACAAATTAAAAATTAGATGCATCATCATGCAATAAAGGTTAGAATAGCCACAAAAAGCTAGAATAGTTTATTCAATTTGATCACGATTCCTTTCATTATAAGCTCAAACACATAAATATATAAAAATGAAACATGCCATATATTAATTATCTACATTCGATACAAAACATCACAAAATAAATACATTAAATAACGAAACATTATTATATTCTTATTTAAAAAGTGAAATATCCTATAGCATGGAGAGGAATAAAGAAACCATTATTTTGGAATCCTTTTTTCTGAGTGAAAGAATTCTAATAAGCAAAACTAAGAGAAGCCACATTTATCTCAAATTTACTCTCTTAAAATGCAACTAAAGACAGAAATGCTGTACAATTTTCTATCTGGTTTTTAAAATAATCTTATTCTAACCAGCAAGTAAATTAATAGACTCTCCAGGCTAGAAAGATCTTTAAGGTCATTTATTCTAAATCCAGATGATTGCAGTTCTAGAAATATTAATTCAGAAAAAACTCTATTAAATTTATAACAAAATTTTAACAAAATTTTATAATTATTAAATTTAGCATTGACGAATATTATTTAATTTTTAACCTCAAGAAATCATCCTGATTATAAGTTTAGATTTATAATTCTACTAAAACATTTTGATATCATCTTTACACCTAGGAAATAAACTTTCTCCACCCTATGCAAAAAATATTATCAAATTGAAAATTTTAAAAATTTAAGAAAAAATAAAATTTAACAACAGGCACATACTCTTTTAAATTACTCCTATGAACTTGACCAGACACTTTCACAGCTTTAATTAATAACTTAAAATACCAGCACTTCTTTAACATTTGAAAAATTAGGATTTTTAACATATGGATAAAAAAGGAAACTTTTTTTAATCCATAAAGTATTTTAAAAAATCTTTAATCTTAACTTTTCCAAGCTCACTAATGACATTTCCCATTGGAATAAAAACGTTTTAAAATTAACAACATTTTGATGATTTTCATCATTTAAGAGTTAAATTTGACATCAGAATTTTAAGTATTCTAGCACAAGTTTATAGGATTTTGCATATTAAATCTGCTATTACTACATTAATATCTGTTTTGAAATATTAGTCAATTATACAGCAAATAGCTATTGCAGTGAACAGATTCTACATTAGCCAAATTAGACTTTATGTATTTGCTTTCTCACAGTACAAATAAATTACATATATATGTACACATATACACACACATACATATTATATATATTTGAATGCTAATTTTGGAAATTAAGAAAATTATTTTGCTCATTTCTTTGTAAAATATTACATTTAAAATTGGTCAAGATTTACACAAGATATTCACATGACTAAATTTAAAAAATCCACTTTTAAATAGCTACACCTAGACATGTCATGTTTTAAAAATCTGCATGTAAGTTTCTGTGTTACCTGTTATGCATTTAAAAAAAAGGATTACTCACCTATAACACCAGTCACAGCTAGCTAGCTGCACTGACTTTGGCTTGGACAGACTACAATGTGGGTTCTGATTAATTTAAAGATTCCAGTGTACTTTTGCTACAAAAGCCATATCCTCTCACAACAAATAGGATTAAGTTTTGATGCTGCATTTGAGCCAAAGTGTTGAAATAAAGAGATTCTGTTTATGTCCATCTGCACTGAGCTGTTTTGTTAATTTAAAAACTCTTTTTCATATATAGGGCCAATTATTCATTCCCCAATTCAGTTTACTTGCTGAAGTTGATAATTACCTTGAAAAAAGGCAAGAGAAATACCTATAAACACTTTAATAGAAAGGACCTAAAGTTCTTGTAGTAAACCTTCAACCTCGCCACTATAAATAAGCCTGGCACTTTGATGAAAATTAACACTAGTTTTGTAAAGAGCACATTGGGGGATTGCAGTCAAGTCTTATCTTTAGTTCCAGTCAACTAGCAATCCTGAAAGAGTTTGCATCATCATCAGAACAGGCCATTTGATAGGATTCTACTGCTGTACCTAATCAATCTATGGAAGACTGTGGCTGTGCTGTGTAACAAAGCTAAAATAGATTTACAAATGGGGTTTTAGGGGATAAGCTCCTCCACAGGATTACATATTGATTTTAAATATAAAAAGCTTATCATATAAACCATAACTACAAAAATAGTGAACCTATGCATAAATCCCTTTAGAAGAGCACCCACTTCAAACTCTAAGCCAAGAATAAATCAAGATGTACAAAATCCTAGAGAAGATCCATTTCTTGTGCAGAAAATGAACATACCACTTTCTGAAAGCCCACCCCAATGTGTGCAGAAATGAATTTATCTTTCCTAAGGGGGCATTAAATAATCTGGAACAAAAAAAAAAAAAAAAAAGAAAAAAAAAAACTATAGGAAAAGTATCTAAAAGATGTTTGTTAGCTTGAGGGATCCTACAACTTAGCTCAGTAGAGTGAAACTCCTGCTATGAAAACACCTCAGGAAAAAAGGGTAAGAATAAGGCCAAAGTGATTATAGATTCTCAGAAGAATAGATGTATTGAATATTTTTTCTCTCAAACCAAGCTGTTAATATTTATTTCAGTGTACTATGGCTATTATATGCCTTCCACTTGATGAATGGTTTCAGCAGCAGATTTACTTGAAATGATTTCAGTTTCTTTATTAATTAATTAAACTATCTATGGCTAATAATAAGAAGAGATCAGGAAAGAAGAGAGAAATGAACTTTAAAACAAAGAAAAGTGAAACAAAACCAACTATTATTGACTATTCATGTTTTTCTGTGGTGTTTTAACACTCAAAAAGGCTATTGAATTGTTTGTGTCCATTCGAAGGGCTGGCTGAGAGTTGATCTTCACAATGATCAGCACCTCTCTAAGAGCCCTGCCCACATCCTGCCCAGGCTAGTGGGACAGGCCTCTCTCTCCAAGAAAGTGTCTTTATTTGTAATCAACAGGCTGTTCCTTTCCTCAAGTATCCTTTTTCCCTCAACCAGCAAAGGAAACTGGCAGAGAGATTCCAGGCACTGTCACATATGGGACAATGTAATTGAGAGAGAGAGAGAGAGAGAGAGAGAGAGAGAGAGAGAGAGAGAGAGAGAGAGAACAATAACTCAAAGCCCTGACAACTGCACTACAAGCATTTTAAAAAGAAAAACATTGTTTTCCCCTCTTCTTAAAAGAAAATGAGTTTCTACTGTTTCTATGTATGTATAAAAAGATTAGGCAGATAAAATTTTAGATTATTTAAGACTGTTAATTCTGTATATAGGAATAAGACTGTCATGCATAAGGTCCTCCTTTTTAAGTATTTTTTTAATAATACTGGCTTTGGGGTATGGAACCAATGTCTGCCTTAAAAGTCAACTCTATATAGGAGAGGATGGGTAAAAAAAATTCAATAACACTTTATATTAAGTGTAATGTATAATGAATCTATAAAGAATATACTGTATAATGAGATATATTATACATACTATATATATACATATATATACATATATTCCTATATAAATAGTATTGCTGCATCTACTTTTCAACTATTTAGCTTTTCCAATTCCAATCTCCTTTAAAGACTATGCTATGACTATAAAAACTACTTATGGAAGAAAAATACTGTTTAGTGTACTTGTGAATTTTTATTTCAATGGCAAGTTTCACAAAACTGCTTAAATAATTTTCACAAATTTTATTTCCTATATAAGTGGTATAATTTAATACATTTAGAGAGTCATTTGAAAGAAATTGGCTAACTGAAGCCTTTTAAAATAAAGTAAATCAAAATAAAGTAAATTTCTAAATGAGAATATCCAAATGTCACTGATATTTATAAAATGAGACAATGGATATAAAAGTAATTAAAAATAAAACTTCTGTAACATATAAGATAGTATGTAGATAAATAGAGTACTTTTTACTTGATGACAATATTATATTAAAATATTTTAAGAATATAAGACTTCATTTGGATTTCCCTTACAAACTTAAATTTCTAGTTTCTGAACTAATTAGAATTGACTTATTATGGATCAGGTACCTTATCAGGTGAAGAACAAAATTACCATGGACAGTCAATGGGTTAAGAGGTCAATATAGAATAAGAAAATCAATTTGCATTGATTAAACAAAAGATCCATTTTACAGAGCCCAAAGGATTAGCTTTTAAGCAGAAATCTTTGAACTATAAGGCATTTTCAACTGAGAGATATGTACAGAGAAGGGCATTATAAAACACCTAGGAATTTTTACAAAAAAAAATGTATAGTAAATGCTATAGTTAAGGTGGCCAATATTTATTGACATTATAAACATGCACAGAATTACTATATAATTAGTTAAAAAACTTTCTGAAAAGTGTGAAAGTGTGTAATTTTTTTTCTTATGCCAATCTTTGCCTATTTACTTAATAGGAGCTGGACTCTTAAGATCTATAGTAGACTGCACAGTGACATATTTTAATGTTGACATCAGTTAAATATTATGGTAAAATTTAGAGTCTAAGGTGAAAAATCAAAATGATAAATCTTTTCTGAACCTCTTCAGTGGAAATAACTTTAAATGGCATAAAAGTAAAATGTAATTAAATCAACTCTCCTTATTTTTTTCACTTAATGGAAATTTAAGCTACCTGAATCAAAAGTTAAGACAATTTTGTACTTAATAGCAAACATAATGATTATCTATCTGATTAGAGTCCTTAGATTCATATGTATACTACTTTCTACCAACAAGGCATTTATTTACATGATTCCTGTAGACCTTAGTAGAGAAGATATAGTAAAACCAGACATGTATTGCACTCTTTAAATCTCTTTGACAATTGACACCTCATCCACCTCACCCACCACTGCATTTCTTACCTTCAATAGCTAGCATTGCCCGCAATTCCCGGTTCAGCAGTTCATACCGCCGTTCCAAATCATGTTCTTTTTCCCTAGGCAAGTTGCAAAAGTTCATCAATATGCTAATTACTAAATCATTAAACACTTAAAAGAACCTTTAGGTTACATTGATTTTAGGACTCATAACTGACTTTTCTCTTTAACTTTAAGCCACTCCAAACAAATGATATACAAAAACCTAAAATCTTTCTCAGCTGAATATTTACTAATGCTATTATTTTCTTCTTTGAATTCTTGAATGGCACAGAGGTATATTTTAATCTGAGGATAAGTAGTCCCATTCTTCAAAGCTTCTTGTATTAGGTGCCAGATATAAGACTACTTTCAAAAATGTTTTTTATAGTTCATAATCAACACTCTTTTATTCAAAACTCTATGTGAAAAGATTATATAAGAAACATGAAAATATTACTAGCACAAATTTAAAAATGGAGACAAAGATTCTGGATTAGTTAAGTTTTGTGCTTCATCATAATTCTTTTATCAAGTTCATAAATGATAGGAATTATAAAAGTAGATTTTTCCAACAAAATAAAAGATAAACCTGGCCATTCCCACACTAGGTGGCATACCATAAGAACTTTGCTAGTGAGCAGAAAGGAACAAGCATTAGTGAACTAACACCAAAGACTAGAATGTTTACATTTGATCTATTCTCCATTTAACTTTAATTCCTACAGTCATAAAAAGGTCACTTCTATTTAAGTAATTAAGCTCTTATCCCAAAGTTTAGATTAACATTATCTGTAGACAACAAATGTATTTTTGTTCTTATAAAGTGTTATTTTATTTTTAACTTAGAACTTGTTCAATAAACTTCAATTTTATTTTTCTAAAGGGTTTTCCTCTAACTATTAATATAAACCCAAACTCCTTTTTCTGCACAAGTGATTTATTTCCAAAACATAAGAACTGTTTATATACCTTGACTTTTTGTAAAACAAACACTTTTTCAGTGTTTAATCACTCCATTTACAAATTTTTACTGTTTGGATGGAAACAGTGAAAAAATGTATGTATATATGTATATTTACTTTTTAATATAAAACATACTGTAATAGAGTATAAAATATACTGTAATTTCTAAGGAAAGAAAAAAATTGAGCTCAATAAATAGGAAACTTTAAAGAAGGCAATAACAGAAAGCCTAATGCTATAGGGAAAAACAAGCTCAGTCATGAGTACTTACAGTAGAGAAAGCTGGTTCATTCTTCTTATTAAGGCATTTTTCTTATTAACTAACATAAACCATTCTTGCATCATAGCTTCTTCTTCTTCTGTGTTCTTTGCTGTGTATAAAGAGTTACTTCTTATTTATATGACATTTTATAAGCCAAATGATAGTTTAGCACAAGTTTTTTAACATTACAAAAAATATTTTAAATATTCCAATACTATATATAAAACTGCTTATAATAATATAAGATTAAAGTCCAGGACCTGAAAAAATAATTAGTATTTAAAACATATAAGCCAAACTTCTAAAGCTGACATTTTTCAGCATGTATATTTCAGTCCCCCTGGACATACCTATAGATCATATTAACACTAAGTACTGTAAACAAAATGTTCCTCCTTTTAAATCCTCCCTAGAGGCTGACTGGCTATTATGTTTCAGTGAAGAACTGCTGGTGATGACAGACATATGGTCATGATTTAAAAAAATTGAAAAATCATTATGAGGATCATAAGACTAGCAGAAAGATCAGAAAAGTCCAAAGATTGTGTGAAAGCTTCTACTTGTATCAATTTAGTTTTTCTTTTATTTCCTCCCTCAAAGTAAACTAAAGATTATATATATGTGTATGTATATATATATGTGTGTGTGTGTATAAATATAAATTTAAAAAAAAAAAAAAAAAATATATATATATATATATATATATATAGAGAGAGAGAGAGAGAGAGAGAGAAAGAGAGAGTATTACAAAAAGACACCAACAGGTCTCTGTGAAAAAAACACATTACAGTGAAAACAATGTTTAGAAAACATTTGATTAGAGAAACAATCTAAAGTTTGTAAAGTTACTGATTTCATAAGTTATACTTCATACCCATTCCATCATCCGTATCACTCTACTTCTCCCCACAACACACCAACAAAAGCTAGTATTAAGGATTATAATACAGTACACCATGTACTTAGTATTGTTCAGGTAGAAGTAGCCCCTAATTATACTCAAGAAAAATATCGATTTTTCTCACATTTTTCCTTCCTCTGCCTTAAAATTATACCTAGTCAAATTTATAATTCTTAGCCTTTTCTCCCTGAATTCCACCTATGCTTGGTTTATTGCTTTACTAAGCCATTATTTAATATTACCAGTCCAACAGCTGTATAGAATTCATGGGATTAAGTTAAATAGCTGACAAAACATTAAATATCCCAATTACGACTATTATCCCTGAAGTTTTATTTTCTCTTTAAGTGAGATGGTTTCTTTTACATTTCAAATATTATGAGTCCATTTTAAAAATTCAAAAAATACAGAGGTATATGATTGAATAAATGTCAAATCCTCTTTCACTGACCCCACCCCTCCTCACCTCCTCACTCCATTTTCCTTCTCCAGAAGTAGTATATTTCCTCCCAAATCAGACAGCTCAGCTGTCTATCAAACACATGTATATACTTTATCTATAAACACATCTAGATTTCTCTCACAGATATGAGTTCATATTATATTGTGTCCTAGGATTTATTATATCATGTGTCCAAATATCTACTTCATATTGATGCATAAGTTATGGGCATTCCATAATTAATTTAACTATTTCTACATTAATAAAAATTTAAAGATATTTAAAAATAAAATAGAATATAAAAAACTGATCTGTGTACAAAAGATTAAACATGTATTTCAAAGTATCCCTATAAAACAGATACGTGTTATTATTCATCTTTGGGGAGAACAGTGGGGATATGTGCCTTCATTAAATGCTGTTAAAACTAAATGGTATGAAGCCGACTTAGGATAGATTCTTTTAGAGTCTGAACAAAAGTCTTTATTGTTTTACAGTATTTTTAATCTCTCCTTTAGGGTAGCTGGTTTTGTATTCACTTTGGACCATGTGATGTCTTGACACTGGTCATGTGATACAGGCTGCGATAGGCACAAATCCCTGGGTAGCAACAAAAGAAGAAAGAGTAAAAAGAAAAAGCTGAGAAAAAGCTTGCAATTTGGAAAAAGGCCAATTGTACCCTGGTGAAAGCTTTTTTGATCAGTGAAATGACACATGTGTGCAATATTAATAGGTGTAGATTTTATGATATTTTATTTTCTGATTAAAGACCTAATTCTTGTGTTTATAAACTAAGTAGCTTCTAAAAATATAGACATATTAAAACTTTGTTTTGAGATTAACTTAACCTTTAATTGAGGCTTTCAGGCAATACTAGAAGCAACCAGCCTACACTTAAATTAGCATCATTTTCTTCAATGGAACACCGCTTCCTTGAGTATAACAATATTGATGTGGAACTGTATTATTTTCAGTTTAACTTATGCCTATGATTTCTAGGTAAGAATCCAAGATCCCCTGCCTCTAATTGTTAGGAAATCTCTAATAATAAAAGAGTCTCATGTTTCAAAAGGAAATAAGCCTAATGATAAATATTTAAAGACACATTACACATTGTTACATAGATTATTTAAATTAATTGAAAAACATCTGTATCACTAAATCCTTATCTGAAATTGTATATGACGGAAATCTATTCTAGTAATAAAAATTAAAGTTTCTTCTAATCCATCACTACACTATTGTTTTTAGGGGTTTTAAATTTTTTTTTAATTTAAAAAGCTCTTAAAAGCCAGTAAGTTGAACCATTACAAATTAATCCTGACTTTAATAACTGGTTAAAGACCCCTTTAGCTTTATAAGTAACAAAAAATATTAAAGCCTGTGATCACAGTGAGCTTTTCTCATTTCTCCTCTAACCATTTGTTATTTAATCCAATACTAGTAATCCAATTTGTCCATCAGACTTTTAAAGGGCAGAATGCAACTTCCTCAGCTTAGACACTTTTCAAAGTACAATATATTTTTCAAATGAATGCTGGATGTTTCATTTTTCCCAACTGTTCCTAGCTCTAATGCACGAGGAAAAAAAGAACAAGATGAACATTGTTCATACTGATTAAGTAAGAGCTCATTAAAGAGCTGTCAGTGCGGTACTTTGAATATGCATGAAGCATATAATCAGATCTAGTACCGTCACTAGAGGAGAATACGGTAAGTACAAAGGATTGATTTAATTACTTAGAGTGGGCTGTGGTGGTAAAGCAGTCTTGTTAGCGCAAAAAGAAAAAGAGGTTGTATTCTGGCACTGTTATAAAAAAGGCAGTTTTAGCTTCTGCCACAATACCTAATCTCAGAATAAAGCACTTTACATTGTAGCTTAAAATGAAGACTGTCATTATATTATAAAATGGCCATAAATCATTTAATCTTGTTTAACCTCACCTAGCTAACTACCTCTCTTTCAAAATTATCTTTAATTTGTAATACAACCACATTTTTGTCACCTCAGAACTAGTACTGGTATTTTTTATAAATATTAAAATTTTTTCAATTTCATGATCTGAAAAATTCAAGACATACTATTGAAGGCCATTTTGAAATAAAAAGTGACTTCTACAGTCCAGTATACATTTACTAAAATTTAAAATAATGCCTGGGATGTTGCACTATATTTTAAAATATGGTACACCTCCTGTTTATTTTATTACCAATAAAGCATCATAAAAAGCTACCCATTTTCACCTTAATATTAATATAGTCTCTAGTAATATATTTTGTATTTTGTTTCCTTTAAAGACTTCTGTTTTTTATTTTGCCTCCAGATATATAATGTTCTTTCTGGTATCACACACTCTCTTAATGTCAGTTTTTTCTCTCTTAATCAATTGTAGTTGAAGTATGAATTGTGAAAATTATTAAGAAATCAAAACAATGATAATGGCAGGAAAATAGCTGTTAAAATGACTTAAAATTATTCTTCCTCTCACACAGTTAATAAAAAGAACTTCATAGACAGCAGCACATTTTACACAGTACTACATGTAATATACTTAATAAATATTAGTTGACTACAGTAACTACCTTTATATTCCATTTCCTCAAACAAACAAGATTTAAAGTTATATAATTTCATTTAGGAATTCATTTACTAATCCAAGAATTTGTATGTAGTTTTCATTTATTTTTTTCAGAAGTAGTGTTTTTTCAGTATGTTTCAAATGAATAAAAAAAATGATGTCAGAATCTTGGAATTATTAATCATATTTTATTTTATTTTTGCAGTTCTAGGGATTAAACTAAGGACCTTATGCATGCTAGGCATCTACCACTGGGCTACAGTGCCAGCTCTGAATCTTATTTTAAAAACTGGCTTCTAAATAAACTTTTCCTAATATTCTTTTCAATATAATATCATCTATTTACAAAATTATATTTTAGACAGTGAATTCTTATATAAATGCAAAATAAGGAATGATAAATACAATTGTAGCTGAATATAGGATGGATTCAATGGGAAAAGGTAAAACCATATAGTTGTAATACTGTTGTTATACATGTAAACAAAGCCAAGGTTTTCAACCATGAAAACATTAAAGAATGCTGAAATCTTGCCACAATCCCATAGTGGGGAATGGCTGACTAGTATCAAATACAGCTCTCTTAGTACATCACATTGAAGTTAAACCAAATATAAAACCAAAAATGCTGACATTAAAAATTGTCCTGATGGGGATTATAGAATGATATTTAAAATACTTTATTACAATGGAGAGACACTTGAAGTATCCAACCAGCTGTTATCAGAGAAGATTTTACTTAATGGAGGGGTCAGAGGCATCAACTCCAAAGCCAATAAATACCATTGTCAAACTATAGTTTCCCAGTTTTAGAAAATATTTAAACTTAGGAAAGAATTAAAGCTATATTAAGAAAATAAATTTTACTATATAAACAAGTGTTTCTGCTCCAAGAATATTCCTAATCAACATTAAAGAAGAATATTTTATAATTCTTATTGACATTTTAGCATCAATTATCTTATTTGTTTAACATGATATATTTACTATAGTATTAGGAATATAAACTTTAGGGCTGGGGATGTGAAGCGGTAGGGCGCTCGCCTGGCATGCGTGCGGCCCGGGTTCGATCCTCAGCACCACATACAAACAAAGATGTTGTGTCTGCCAAAAAACTAAAAAATAAATAAAATACTCTCTCTCTCTCTTTAAAAAAAAATAAACTTTAGGGAAAATGTGCCTCTTTG